ACTGAATTACAGTTAATATACCACATCATGGTAACCATTCCTCGTGCTTCATCTTGCGTCCACTGCATGTGAACCGCTAGATGCCTAAGTGTCACAGTACACCCACTATTCCATTACGCTCATTCATCGCATTCCACGGTCCCTTTATCTCTCTCCAGCAATTCCAATTCAATCTCCTGTCTACGTAACAATCTCACGAATAGAACTATCTAAAAACTGCAAACCCATTCTTTTTTCCTTCGCCTCTATATATCTACGCAGCCACAGTCTCCTTTAATTCTCTCGTAATCCCTGGTATCATCTTATCTTCTCCATTAAACACGTCGGGCTACGCACACATATACGCGTTATCTTTGCACGGAAAAGATCCAGTTAGCCACCATCTCAGCCCGCTGAACTTTTGCAACAAGAAGAGTACTACAAGCGGCATTAAAGGACCATTAAGAAAATTAGAAAAAAAATTAATTTTAAAGGATTACTCGTTTCTTTGTTCTGCAAACTAATTGTCACTGGGAAATTCGGATACATCTACGGGGTGTCTCGTGTAACTAGATGGATTATAGGTTTAAAGCGATAGAGAATAGTAGAATAGCGGAGCAATTAATTAGGAAATGTAGTGACAAAAATTGTGAGAAAAATGTCTCGACCAGCTGAGAACAAAGAGAATAAAGTTAACAGGAAATTCGATACAAGTAATAACTAAGGATAAAAGAATTAATTTTTAATTTTCTATTAATAATCTATAGACGCTAGAGTCCGGATTTTATCCACACAAAGGGCCATTCTTTTTGCTTGCCTCTCAACGAGAACACGTTTTAGTTAAATCAAGGGAAGAGGAGATCGAAGGAAGTCTTGTTTGGACCCACTACCAAAGGACGAGCAACAGCAAAAAAAGGACGGTCTGAACGATACTCTTCTGCGACTGGTCGACAAGAAGGGGCCCGTCTTCCTTTTACGACGTGGCTCCGCTCGGCGACACGCGGCCATTAACATATTCTTCATCCTGCGACAGAAGCTCTCACGGAGCTTCTTGTCAACCGATTTCGAGAATGGAACGTCCGGGTTCTTTGTGCGTGTTCCGTGCACTGGTTCGGCGATCGGTGGCGACCATTTTTGGCGAACGATCGGTAGAAGAATGGGTAGAAGGTGTACCACGTGGGAGGACGTTGAATTTATTGGATCTCGATATTGCTAAACTTTCTCTACCGAATCGTAGAAACTCTCACGCAACGAACGTGTTAAACGGAAATTTTCGTACAGAGTGAAATTACAACTTGGCTAACTAGGAAATCAAACGGAATAAAAACAAGAAGAGAACAAAACCACGAAATAGACTTCTTCCAAAGAGGAGCCTGCTCGAAATCAGTGGTAATCACCCACGCGAGGATCCAAAACGAGCTGTACACACGTACACACACAGAGCACCGCGATTTGAAAACAACGGGTGCACAGCATCCCGAAGCAACAGCCTGGTAATTGCGTTCACGAAACCGCGAACAGGCAAGAACATCGGCGAGAACGGTCGTTTGTCAGTGGCAAATAGAACAGTTGATCTCATCGAGGCCCTCTAACGAGGCCTCGTTATTGCAGTTCGCGTGCACACGCGTCGATCTTTCTACCAAGCGTTTTCGATCGCCTAATTAAAACGAACTTCTCGTTTCGAGACTTAATCTCTACCACTGAGAACCAATAAAGGGCAAACGGAATCGTTCCTTCCCTTTCCATTCACCTCTTTTCTTTTTTTCGTTAGTCTCTTTTCCTCTGATTCGCGAGGAACGCGATCGATCGCAAACGCCGCCGGATGTCCGACATCCGGGGACAATTTATATCGACGATAAATTCCTACCCTCTTTCATTAGTGGCCTTTGCACGCCAGATTTACAGCTATCTCTCGCGCTATGAACAGTGTTCCGTGTTTCGCGGTCGATCGTATTTTTCGCCAGGCATTTTAACTGTACCTGCAGGGGACGAAGGCGCGGGAGGTGACAGTTTCGGTTGATTCGAATTAGTTTCGTCGTTAGCGATAGCGATAATTAACGGCGAGCGGCCGAAACGTTGCAATTCGAAGAATTTCTCTGATGTTTTGCTATGGAGAATATACCTCGGCTCTTTTGTCATGATATTTTAGGAAAGGAAGGACACGCACGTGTCTAGTACATAGGAATTTCGATTTGATTAGAGTTAGTTTCTGATTAAAAACTAGTGGGAGCGATTGAAACGAGACGAAAGATACATTTCAATCAATACGACGACGCTTTGGAAACTGGACGTATCTGCGGTTCGTAGAATAATATTGGAAATTCTGCTAATCGACTGTAATTGTAGAATACCAAAAACCAAGAAGCTTGGAAAATTTCAGAAAAATTTCAAGATAGGGAAACTGAAAGGTATATTCAAATTCACGAAGAAGGTGTCATTTCGTTTCACAGAGAAATCAGCAGCTGACTGTACAATCGATATAGACGTCGTAAAAGCAGACTTCCAAAAAGAAGCGCGAAGAATGTGCACCGCGGCAATTTCAGCGACACCCCGGGTGTAGCCCGTTCGACTTTCCATGCCGAAACTTCTCTCCATTTTCGGCGCGTGCGGCTCGATTTATCACCGTTGAGTTAAATTTCGATCGACCTCTATAACCGTGAACTTGCGATCGCGCCAAGACTCGACGCCCCGCGCCATTCAATTTAAATCCTCGTCCGATCAACTCCAACCTCGATGCTCCTCTATAAACGGAGGGATACACGTCTACGTATATATCGTCGATATCGTCAGACAACATCTGTGACAGCCAGAACGAGCTTCAAGCTCGATCTGTTATCGCCTTGGTAGGCTATGATCCGCCCTCTTACGTGAAAGTTGTAAAAGAGACGAAGAAAACAGATTGCGATGGCGCGCGTGGATGTTTATTGAAATATAAAGGATTTATGTCTCTCTCTCTCTCTCTTTCTTTTTCTTTCTCTTCGTAATAAGTTTGCGTGACGACGGAGTTTCAGGTTTTGAATTTAGAGAAGTTTGCTATGGATAGCTGAGAAGGGTGAGAGCTAAAGATTTTCACTGACGCGAGACAAAAATCGTGGCTTAAAACACGTAAATTAATTTTTCTGTGAATAATTTTGGAAACAGAACATTTTTACTTTCTCATTAAAGGATATTCAAAATCGACCAATATTACAACCTGTTTTCTATTGTAGTAATTTCAAATAAATATGAATATCTAGATGGAACTTTAGATAGAAAGAAGCTGAGAGTGGATGAACAAATCTTTGAGAAAAAGAAGACGTATTTAAATGGGACTGTAATTGATTTTTAATATTTTTTAAAAGATCATTAATATTTTCTTGGAAACATAGAGCGCGTATTTAGAAGGGAATAAATCAACGAGAAATAGAAATACGATGCTTGGATGTTTGGAGAAGAGTTGGGAAATACAGATGCAACTTCGATCGACGTTTCTCCCAATGACAGACGATATTCAAATGAGACATTCGATGCAAACTGAACAAGATCAAAAGGGAATTGAATCGAATGCTAAAATTTAACTCTTCTGGATCTGGTACTATGGAGATACATGAAACGTCTAGTTTGTGCCTCTTGAGATTCAAGATCTCTCATTGTATTGAAATGGCAGACAGATCCTTGACAGATTTATCACTTATTTCTGTGTCACTACGAGTATCGTTTCAATCACAGAATCGTGTTACTATTTTATCATCTTGTAGATCATCAATTAACAAAACAAACAATATTTGGTTCGCGATATGACTACAAGAAATTGCAGAAATCTGAAATAATGGAATTAATTAGTCTTTTAAATTAAAAAATTCTTTTAAAAAACTATATGTACGACTAAATCTTGGTTTTAAAAAACGATATTTTATGTGTAACAATTTAATAACGTATTCGAGATTTTCTCTTCTACACAAGAAATTTAATAACTTCTTGTTCGATTGAAGATTCAAATATGCAGCGGAAGATTCGTACGTCTCTATCGGATTTCCTTGAGAAAATTTTCTCAAGAAAATTCACCGACGAAGACTCTACACCACCGAGCTACCTTCCTCCCTTATCCTTCTGAATTATTCTGGAGAGTAATCGGAGGAAATGAAATCTACCAGCTCCAGTTACCGACGTCAGAAGTTCGTATTAATTATGACTCGTAATTGTCAATCGACGTTCTGTTGGTTTCTACGAGCACTAGGGGTAGTTGGGAAAGGGCTGAGATAAGTCATGAATCTCCATTAATAGAAGAGGGATTTTGAAGTGAAATTTCACATTAATATACCAGAAACTTAGTCAAGTCGACCATATTAATTTCTATGTCAAACGAACGAAAACGATTCATCGAGCACGAACGAAGAAAATTCATCGAGCACGAGCGAAAATAAGTATAAAAATATCGTCGATATTATCGGTATATAATCTAACATTTTACGTTCGTAATATTCTTACGTGGGAAGTTCAAGAAAGTTCAGCGTCTCTTACGTAATTCCATAACCTTCAGCTACAACCTTTAACTTTAACCTTTATCTTTTTAATCTTATCGATACTCGAGCGACTATAATCATGTACTATACAGAGTGTTCTAAATTCTTCCAGTCAAACCTTCGCAAAAATCGCGGTAATAAAACAAAAATTCGCAAAGTCTTACCTAATGATATTTGGTCGTCCGAAAAGTGTCTTTCTTTTACAGACACGTCTTTTACAACGACGCATCTTCATACAAACACGAAACCTAATCTATCGAACTTTGTAATCTTTATCTTGATAAAACAAAATGGATCATACGTAATTCGATAAAATAATATAAAACGGAAAATGTTGTGCATCCACTATTTCCTTATAAAACGAAAGAAACTTTTCGGACCATCTAATATATAGTTAAGAGATAAATTCAATTATATTCCATATATGAAAATTTCGAAAAGTCCGGTTTAACGTAATACCATAAAACGTAAAAACATCACCCCACCCTCTCAAAAAAGCCCAACGTTCCTTCGACTCACCTGAGAATATGTTGATTGGTAGACTGCAGCAGGATCGTAGTATACTTGGTGATCAGCATTTTTCCTCTCGCAAATGCCTCGAGGAAATCCACTAGCCGAATCGTTAGAAGTAAAACCGAGCTAATTCGCGTACAGCCGTGTAACACGAAGCTGCGATAGTCTCCGCGCGACAACGACGACAGTCGAGAGAGGGGTCTCGCACTCGTTTCGCATAAATCGCGGTCTAGGAAAATCGAGCAAAGCGAATGAAGAGCCCGTGGATGCCGCGGAAATTCTTCCGGCTATATTTAACGTTTCCAGCAGGCACAAAGCGATCCGGCTGCATCCTTCTTTTCTCCTTCTTTTCGAGGTTCCAGCGAAAACCTTGACGTCATTCGGCCGTCGATCTTGCCCGTGGTCAAGTCACCGGTTTCGCGCCTCCTCCGCAACGATCGTCGCTGTGTTTGCTTCGGCTTTCGCTTTGTTTGTGCTGCACGTCGTCGACGAGGCGTGGTTTCGAGGCTGAGTGAGTTGCCGGATTGATTGGGTGTCTGCTTTTGGCGAGGGTGTTGATTCAAATCGCGTCACTTCGTGGTCTCTCGCGTTTCCTTTCGAGAATACGTGCACAAGTGTTTGTGCGATTGATTGGAAGTTTTGCTAGCTTCGCAAATATTGAAGTTACGATCGGTGCTTATTTTAAGTATGATTAATGTGGCTTCTTGGCGATGAAATATCGTTCCACTCGATCGATGCGTTCATAACGCTGATTAGAATTTCCGTAGAAATATTACAGATATACGATCGATGTTAATTTCAACTGTAATTTCCGTCATTTATCGGTGATTCGATGAAACATCTTTTTAATAAATTGTTTAAAAATTCTACCAGTGTTTGTGGTAATTGAAATTTTTATCGGAAGGTTGGAATTACGATTAGTGATCGTTTTGGATACGATCGATACTCGATCGATAGTGGTTCGACGTATATTTGCCGCTTCAATTGATTATTTATAGCATTGATTGAAATCTTCGTAGAAGTATCGAAGTCACGATCAATGTTAATTATAAGTATGATCAACGTCGACCGTTGGCAATTCGGCGAAACACTTCTTTTAGCTCGAAGCTTTGCGCTTTATGATTTCATTTCTAGAAAGTTAATAACTTCGTTGAGAAATCTGCAGCTTGGTAAGTTTTAACATAGGAACCTTGTTCGCGATTAATATCTACGCTTCGTTATCTTCGCAATATTTATTAACTTGTCTTAAACTGCTATCGATCTATTCCTTTCCTTAAAACAGGTTACTTTTCACAGCATCCGTAGCAACAGATCTTGATTCGAGCAATCTTGCCTTCTAAATTAAACTTCCTGTACAATCAACTTACAAAGTTGTTCTTTACGCGAGAACAAGATCCTCACGATTACTCGCAACACCCACTTTAATCATTAAATTTATTCAGAAAGATAAGTCATTTGACGTAAATCTCATCTTCTGACCAAGCTTCCTCTTCCTTGTCAATTTCAACTTCTTACTCTGCTCTTTCTCACCAATTCTTCAAAACTTTTCGTACCCACGACGATTACGTCGAAGTCTTGAAAAGTCAATTTTTTCAGTTCCTCCAGTTTCCACCTTCGACCCAGCGCGATAGTGAACGTAACAATCACGTCTCTGTCAACCGTGTTCGACCGAAACACGCAGCTGTCGCAAGAAAGAAGCTTCGAGTCAGGTGTGCTGTACCCTCTTTACTCTCTAACTGTCCAGGTCGAGGAGCTCGCGAACGGGTCCCAAGGTTTTGCCTCGTGTTTACCAGCCTGACAGATAGCGACAGGTGCAACGATCACAGATTGGCTTTCTTCGTTTGAGAACGGACACCATGGCGCCGTTTCGATTCTATTCTCGCGTGTCGTCCTTAGAGTTTCAGCTAAAACGTCGTCGAATCTTGGTTGACGTTGGTCAGCGTTGTTGCACGACTTTTCCTTCGATTTAGTCGCGTTTATTCGTTGGAGATAGGATTTTCACTGTGATTTATTCTCGCTCAACTATTAATCGAGTTTAATATCGCGTCTCCAACAGGATCTTCAGCTCTAGTTTTATTCTTCAGTGCCACTAAGTCGTCGAGATTTTCGTGAAGTAGTTGGCAATGCTACATGATTTATTCTCTGATTTATGTCTCGTTCATTCAACTTCGAAATTTTCACGCGATCTCGAATTTCTTGAATTTACGTAGTCCTTTTGATATCCGCCATTTGATGCAGCTTGTCGATCTCGAAGTTAGACTCTGTTTTCATATCTTCGATGTATCTTCATCAAAACTGTCGATTTTTTTCACGTTGGTCAACGACCTTTCACGACTTTTCAAATGTCTTCAGTGGTTTTCTTTCGCATCGACGATGTCACGCAATATATTTTTGAATTTACTTTCATACATACACCGATCTAGCTTCACTCTCGATCCTCCATTCGATCGTGAATTTCGATTTTCCTGTTAAACGTTCAGCGTGTAAACGCTTCTTAGCGTTTCGCCAAAGTACCGTGGTGCGTTGCTTGACGTTGGTCAGGGATCCCACGACTTGCCCTTCGATTTATCCACCGATCGAGCTTCGCGTCGAGTCTGCCGTGCGATCTTGAAAGATCGGTCAACGTTCCTGCGACCTTGTCGGCCTCGAGGTCCGGTCGATTATTCTTTATTGCGACTCGTCGAACGATCGAGGGCCGCGCCACCGTTTCTGGAATACGATTTCGTGGAAATCGTGTTGTCGATCGAGTCGAATCACCAATGGTCGTGTATTTTTAGCGCCACTCTGCCAGAGATCGCGACGGTCAACTTGTTCAATGATGCAGAGAATCACGGGACTCTGTGAGATTCCGAAACGTAACACGATCGACTTGCCTCGTTCAGGGAATTGATTCTGTCTAAGACGTTCAGTGTATTCTCAACTGCATTCCGTTTTGAAGCTCGTATCGATTATTAGATTGTCTGCTGATCAGAAACTTCTTTGAATCTTGTGATTGAAGATGACAATTTTAAATAAATTTATATATTTTAAATCTTGTAAGTTTATAAGTAAAATACGATAACGTATTTTTGGTTGATCATTGCTTCGATGAATTATTCGAGCTTTTTGATCTTCTAAGATTTATTTACCAATAGCTTCACTTTTCGTCGTACGATCTTTTCTGCTACGCTACGCGTCGACATTCTTAGATTTTCCAAGACGAAGTTGGCTTAGATTGCACAGGAAGATCCTGATTATTCTAGCGATTCTCGGCTCGGTCGTTTGGGATTCAGGGTTTGACAAGGAGGTCAGCTTGATCAACTCGTTGTCTCAGAGAATCATAGCGATGTTACGCATCTATGCACCGAGATCTTGATTATTAAACGAGACCAATTTAGTAGACGCGACAGAAGTGTCTTCTTTGTTTCATAAAATCGTCTGAATGGAGTTCTGTTCGAGGAAATCATTGAGCCGTAACGGAGGATCGCAAGCGCGCGTGCCACGTTAAAAACAAAATTCCGAAAATTTTAGCAGTCCGAAAGTAATCGTAGGACACGTGCGTTGTAACGTTACGCGGAAGTCGATCACCAAAGATTCCAATTATTCGAAGAATTCAGTCCAATCAAGTTACTCGACGTTGGAAAGATCGTACAAACGTGCGTTAAATTGTCACAGAAACCTCGATCCTCTAGAATTCGTATTATTCGTAGAATTCACTAGAAAGCAGTTATCAGTAACGTCAAATAATTTCAAACATCCGCGTTAAATTGTTACAAAGGCCTTGGCCTGGAATTTATATCGGAAAATCCAGCTGAGAAGAGAGTTACTGGAAAAATATTATATAATTTGAAAACCGCAGTTATTAAATTGCAGTAAAGTCCTTGATCGCGTAGAATTCGCATTGCTTGAAAAAATTTAGTTGCACGAGAGTCAGGAGAAATGTCAAATAGCTTGAAACATCTACTAAATAACTATTAAATTCTGTATATCAAATTGTCAGAGACCTCGGTTAAAATTTGGATTATTTAAAAAATCCAGCTGCTGCGAATAATTGCAAGCACTAATTATATAGTGTTAAGATCAATTAAAAATTGGAACGTTCGTGATTTTCTTCAAATACTTCCAATACTCGATCACTCGATTAATCACCTGTTTGTCGGTCACGTATCGTTCATTCGAAGCTCTCCGTATCTCGGTTCACCAATGCCGTATTCACATCGTAAATCACACTAAAAGGAGGAAGAATCTACACTCAAGAAGAATATTAAAAAAAGAGAGATATTCGGTCGCAACGATTGGTCTATCGATCGTCCGCTTACACTCACAAATTGGTAACTCAAAGTTCACCAATATATCTTATATCGTACATAATACCGTAGAAAAAACAGTCTGCGTTGAAGAAGAACAGCGAAGAAGCAATTAAAAATGATTCACGAATCTCGACGATCGATCATCTACTCTTGAAACTCACATATTGGCCATTCAAGGTTCACCAAATGTCAGTTCACCGGTCACCATATCCGATGTATCACCACATCAAGAAGAAACAGTCTATGTTGAAGAAAAGTAGCAAAGAAGCCGATCAATGCCAAAATAGTTGACAGATCTGGATGAGCGAGCACAATGATCCGAGGTCTCTGTTGAAGAACAAGGTACTCGCGTGTCAGAGACACTGGCAGGTGGTAGCAAACCGCCTTAAGTAGCATCGACAGGAGCGTGGCTGGTGCCAGTCCTTGTCTGCCAGTTCATTCGGAAGTGATCTGCTCAATAAGCGTCGCTCTGAGGCGCGTTTAATCGGTGTCAACGAAGGACAGGCGAACGATAAACAGTCTTGCGGTGGTTATATCGATGACGTCGCTTCTAGAAACTCCTCCGAGTGCACTTACTTCTCTGTTAACTACACGATCCTCTATCAGAAACGTTTCTCTTCCTCGACGAATTTATCAAATTTATCGACGAATCTCGAAAGAATCGAACCTTTCGGTGACCTCTTCCGGTATCTTGCCCTTCTATCCGAACTCTGAACTCTGTTCGTGGATCGTTCGTGAACTATAGCAAGGTTCGAAGGATCGGAGGCTGGATCACGAGACGAATCGCGTTATCGATCCCTGAGAATCGACAATGGCGACGAGGAGGGATCGGTTGCAGAGCGGAGGAAGCGGATCGAGGGATTTTCGCGAGACCCCAGGTAAATTGAGCTCAGCGTCCACTCTGCTTCGCGTCTCGCCGTCTCGAATTGATTTCATGCTCGATCGCGCTTGAGTCTGGGTCATCCGCGCTAACTTTCCAACTCCGCCGAGTCTTGGAAACGCGTAGTGTCGAAGACGTGGCCATTGTACGCGGTTCGGTTGCGATTTTGGGCCGATCGACGCGCCATTCCTCTCGACCATCGCGGTTAACCTTCGGAAACTATCTGAATTGGGGAACTACCGTGGATCCCGTTTTCCTTCATCGTGAGAATCTTACGTTCGATCGAGACAAGCTTCGACGATATTAGAAAACCTTCAACGAGACACTGTCTAAGAACGTTCGTAGATAATCGACACTCGCACTCGAAGACCTTTCATCTTCACCTAATCACGTCCCACGTCACCAGAGGATGAAACCTCTTCCAAACACTTTCTCCTTCGAATCTTCAAGCTCTTTCCAAGTTTTCCTAGTCCTTTCGCGTTACCACACCTTTTACCTGCGCCATGTTCAAAGAACCATCGATCCACGTTATCCAAGGATCAGACAAAGAATCACCACCCAAGCTTCCTTCGTGAACCTTTTAATTGAAGGTTCACGGTAAAGTTCTCCAGGGATTCATGACACTACGGTCCTCGAGGATCTCGATCATCTCCAATACCTAAAATCTGAAGGATTTGGCATCGATCGTTCTCCAGGATCTCGCTTTCTTGGATTATTTATAGACACGGCGGACAAAGAGGTTCTCGAGCGTGCAGCCCGGCTGCCGGTCGCGAATGGACTGGTTGCACGTTTGTTAAACACTATAGTCGCGGCTGTA